AAACAGAAAAAAATAAGTTCTTTATGTGCCTAAATTAGGCAAAAAATTAGACTTGAAAATTTTTCTGTCACTAAAAATATTGCCTCTTCAGTTTAATTAAATGTAAATATCAGGTAAACTACTTGTCAGACATAACAAATGACAGTTAACTGAATTTTCAACCAGTTATTTTATTATAAGCTATAGCATTAAGCAAGGTACAGATTTTGAGATCTCAATCAAAATTAAATCTAACTTTAAATTATATTGTTATATCGTGTGCATGTACAAATATGTAACAAGAAATCACATCAAAATGTATAACTAATGCACCCACCAATAAAAATGTGGAAAATTTTTTCAATTCAACTTGCAAAACTGATATGACTTTATTTCTACAAACTTTCTTATAACACTTTTTCCTTGATTGAAAAATCTCTTTCTTACCAATGGTACAGAATAGAGGATACAGAGACTAACTCACAAAATTACAATTATCTTATATTAGACAAAGGTGCCAAAAACATGCACTAGAGAAAAGACAGCATCTTCAACAAATGGTGCTGGGAAAACTGGAAATCCATATGCAACAAAATGAAATTAAACTATCTCTCACCATGCACAGAACTTAACTCAAAATGGATCAAGGACCTAGGAATTAAACCAATGACTCTTGTCTAATAGAAGAAAAAGTAGGCCCTAATCTTCAACATGTGGGATTAGGCCCCAACTTCCTTAATAAGACTCTTACAATGCAAGAATTAAAACCAAGAATCAATAAATGGGATGGAATCAACTAAAAAATTTCTTCTCAGCAAAAGAAACAATCTGTGAGCCTACATCGTGGGAGCAAACTTTTACCCCTCACACATCAGATAAAGCACTAATCTCTAGGGTAAATAAAGAACTCAAAAAGCTAAGCACTGAAAAACAAATAACCCAATTAACAAATGGGCCAAGGACCTGAACAGACACTTCTCAGAAGAGGATATACAATCAATCAACAAATATATCAAAAAATACTCATCATCTCTAGCAATCAGAGAAATGCAAATCAAAACTACTCTAAGATATATCATCTCACTCCAGTCAATATTATGAAGACAAACAACAATAAGTGTTGGCAAGGATATGGGGGAAAAGGTACACTCATACATTGCTGGTGGGATTGCAAATTGGTGCAGCCAATTTGAAAAGCAATATGGAGATTCCTTGGAAATATGGGAATGGAACTACCATTTGACCCAGCTATTCCTCTCCTCGGACTATACCCAAAGGACTTAAAAACAGCATACTACTGGGACACAGCCACATCAATGTTTATCGCAAAATTCACAATAGCTAAACTGTGGAGCCAACCTAGATGTCCTTTGAATGGATGAAAAAATGTGGCATATATACACATCAGAATTTTACTCAGCATTAAAAAAAAAAAAATCATGGAATTTGCAGGTAAATGGATGGCCTTGGAGAAGATAATGCTAAGTGAAGCCAGCCAATCCCCCCAAAACAAATGCTGAATGTTTTCTCTGATATAAGGAGGTTGACTCATAGTGGGATAGGGAGGGAGAGCATGGGAGGAATATGAATTCTAGATAGGGAAGAGGGGTGGGAGGGAAAGAGAGGAGGCAGGAGATTAGCAAGGATGGTGGAATGTGATGGACATCATTATACAAAGTACATGTATGAAGACCTGAATTGAGTATCAACATATTTTATATACAGAGATACGAAAAATTGTGGTATGTATGTGTATTAAGAATTGTAATGCAAAAAAAAGCAACAAAATTCATGTATAAAGGCATAAATTGACGTGAACATACTTTATATAGAGAGATATGAAAAACTGTGCCCTATATGTGTAATAAGAATTGTAATGCTCTCCACTGCTATTGTGTATTTTTAAAATAAATAAATAAAAAGAAATTTAAAAAATGCTATCCATAAATTTAATGAACCACTCATGAAAAAAAAATCCCTTTCTTTATTAGTTTGCATAAGTGATGCTGGCTGTTATAACAAACCCCAAGATCTCAGTAGCTTAACATGATAAAGATCATTTTTCTCTGAATTAAAAAAAAAAAAAATACGGGCATACCTTTTATAAGAATCCAGGAAACTCAGGATTAGCAAATCAAAAAGCACTAACTAAATTTTCAAATAAAAGATTCTACTGATAAAACTACTGGCTCCACAGAGTAACATAATTAAAACTATTTCTGTTAACACCACCACTATTCTTCCCAGCACTCACTCCTATCAGATACACACCTTTTATCACATCCACTATCCTACCTTAGACAAAACCTGGTCATATATGGTAGAGCAGAGTCAGCCAAACTAGATCAAGATCAAGATGGAAACATCCTAATGGTACTCTGAGTAGCCCAGACACAGAAATGTTCCATTCAAAATAAATGACTGCTTAACCTTAATAAACAGTGGGTCAAAAAAGTTCTAGTACTCACTTAACAGATATTGCAAAATAACAAAGCAAGGAAAGCTCACCTACTCGTATATTATTCAAAAATAAGTCCAAATATGAATATTTTTCTTTTTAAAACATTTACATAACTATACCATTAATATATATATACTTACATATTAATATATATACTAATGTCTAACTAGACATCAAAAATAAATGAAGGAGCTGGGGTTGTGGCTCAGTGGCTGAGCACCTGCCTCGCATATGTGAAGCACTGGGTTTGATCCTCAGCACCACATATAAATAAATAAAAAATAAAGTACATCAACAATTTAAAAATATTTTTTAAAAAAATGAAAATAATGAATCCCACTATTATTTATAATTATAATGCATCAATACAAAATTTTTTAAATTTTAAAATATTATCCAACTCAAATACACCTAATACAAAAATCTGAGAGCTGAGTTTACAAAACAAACAATATTTTTATATTTCAAAAAATTCACAGTACTGGAAGATTAATTTTTTTATGTGAAAGATTAAATGTATGCCATAATTATGTATGCCTTAAAAATCACATTCTTACTACATATGACTTTAGTATAATCAAATTCCACCTGAAAATTTTTTTTTAATTTTTTTTTTTTTTTTTTAGTTTTAGGTGGACACGATCTTTATTTTTTAATGTGGTGCTAAGAATCAAACCCAGTGCCTCACGCATGCTAGGGGAGTGCGCTACCACTTGAGCCACATCCCCAGCCCATCCACCTGGAAATTTTAAAATCTTAAAATTTTTAAAATTTAAAATATCTAGTCTGTACTGGATCAGTAAGAGTAATCTTTACCTAACAAAATAATTTAAATAATCCTTTGAAAGTAATAACTTTTAACATTTCAGTATTTACATATAGTTCAGTCAAAAGTGTCAAACAGCTTTAAAGCACTAAGTACAAGGAAATGCACAAAATTTCTGTGGAAAATAAATTGTGTGAATTTGTAATGGAATACATCTCCCTTCCATTTACAATTAAATTCACCCAATCTAAAACCCCAGGAAATTCAGAAACACTATGAATGCAAGCATGGTTACCCAAACAGCCTTGTCCAGTCGTTGCAGTAACAAATGGTACAAAGACTAAACACAAATATTCTGAGCCAGGTGCAGTGGCACACATCTATAATCCCAGAAGCTCAGGAGGCTGAGGCAGGAAGATCATGAGTTCAAAGCCAACCTCAACAATGGTGAGCGGCTAAGCAACTCTAAATAAAATACAAAATAGGGCTAGGGATGTGGCTCAGTGGTCTAGTGTCCCTGAGTTCAATTCCCAGTACCCACCCCCACCCCACAAAAAAGAGTAATATTCTAGAGTTCCAAAGGGATATTTCCTGCTTAGCAGTTTCCATTCACTGGCCATTCACATATCAGATGTATGTACAATAGAGAATACCCAAACATAGAAACTATGAAAAGATAGGCCACAATAATGTAGTTTGCAGAGTTAAGATTATATTCCCACAGCTTCCCTATAAATTTATCAGGATAAACATAAATAACTACATACTAGACTGCTAAGTGTTAGCATAATAGCAAGGCTACGTTACTCATTCAACACAGCCATTAGACAACAAACCATCCAAATCTGCCTCTTTTTATAGTGGAATTGGTTCTTTTTAGTTTACAGATATAACCGACATGACCAAGACCCTAAATGCCTTTCTTCATCTACTCTACAGTCCTCATATCTAATGTGAATAAAATGGTTAAGGGCCTAGGTCAAACCAACCTGGACTCAAATTCCAATTCTATTGAGAGTTCTATGACCTTAGGCAAAAAAAAAATCACCAAACTTAAGTTTTCTCATCTATAAATCTTATGCCATAAGGTGTCTATAAGAAATAAATGTGATGAAGCATAGCAAGTAGAATTACACAATAGTAACTATTTAGCAAATGGCAGTCTAAAAATCAGAGCAGCTGAAAAAAAGGATAATAGACAATAAAAGGATTATAGACAATCAAATCAGTAGGATGTAAAGAAGGGAAACTTAAACTACAAATTCTTAAAAAATCTTTTTTAAAAAAGCATTAATGCACGATTAAAACAAAAATTACCTTCAGAGTACTTCTATTTTTCCAAAAAGATATTAGAAAAAGGCTTTAAATGACTGAAATTTTAGTCAGCAGTCATTAAAGTTTTCAACTTAAGTCTATTTCTCATCATCCTTCACATTCAATTTGATAGTACTTTTGTTCACAAATGGTTTTAAAAATTTGAACTATATTGTGGTGACATTTATAAGACAACAGTCTTATATCTATATGTATGGATTATTATAGCCCCCTTGAAATCAAGAGTTCTGAAGTGGTTACACTGACCGATTTTTAAAATTACTTATGTAAGGTAATAGGGAATTACAAAAATAACAGATACAAATTTCAAATGATATAATACAAGCTACTTCCTCTGAAAATGAATGGAAGACTTTGGTTATGGAATGTTATTATAGACTCAGAATATATTCTCAGAATAGAACCTACATGCCTGGTTCTATTCTTGCTTTAATTCTAACAGACAGAATAAAAGAAAAATTTGAAAAAGTAGCACAGACCAGATCTTCTCATCAGCAAAGCTAAAAGACCTAAATATTCAAAGTCACTGCTTTAGTGTAACAGCAAGAACAGCAAAGACAGAGGGAATGTACCCAGAGAGGAGACAATCAAGAAGCACTCTGATCCCAGAACTGGAAAATGGGAAACAGGGAATGCAAGCGCAAAAAAAGTTTTGCCTTTAACACTGAGTTCAAGGTGAGTCAGGTCCACCTTAGTTACAGTTTGCCTATAAAAACAGATAGTAAAAAGAGATAAAGAAAAAAGTAAATAATTGAACTTAGAAATTTGTATTTTTTAAGTTTTCTTAGTCCATTCTAACTGAACAACATTAAGTTCAACCATTTAGGTATCTACTTCTCTGATAATTAAGTCTAAACTCAGATCAAGGTCCCAAACTCAAGTGAAAGTGGCCTTTCTTGACAAGTATCTTCACCATCTAGTAGGAATTACCTAAATTTCAGATTTCACACTACAGTCCAATTTCAGGACCTAAAAAACTAAAGTCATCAGGTTAAAAAAAAAGTCATATTAGAATAGGATCCACAACTAAGTATTCATACTCTCATCAATATGAACTGATACACTTTCCAGTTCCTAAACTAAAACTTAAACCAATTATCAATACCATTCAAAGTTAACTAAATTGCAAAAGAGCTCAATTCCACTTCTGAAGATTTTAATGATTTGGAAATATTTTCATAAATATGGCAACTTCCTGATTCTTACCTAGAAAGTACCTTCCCCTCCATAGCCCACTAAAGATCTATCATCTTTTTACTAAGGACTGTATCACTATGTGATAAAGTAATAGAAAGCATCTAGTCATCAATTCAACATTAACTATGAAAGAATACTTAAAAAAGGAAATTATTAGACTCTGACTTCTCTCCTTCCTTAAAATTGCTATCAGCTCTTTAAGAAAAATGTAAATGTCCCTGTGAACCCTGTGAATAGCTACATTCCCTTAACACCCCCAACACAAAAGTTAACCATTCCCTTCCTGTGCTCCTACAACACACTACACCCCTCCTGTATAACACTAGTCACCATAGTGGTATAGTTTATTTATATGTCTGTATTTATATGTCTGTATCCCCCACTAGACCTGAGCTTCATAAGAGCAAAGGACAGTCATCATCATCTTCACACTGCATAGATATTTGAATGCCAAGTCAATAAAATCCTAGTTAAATAAATGAAGCTCAAGAAATGTGCTTTTTGAGCAGCGGGGTACATGTATGGTAAGTTTACAGGGGGAGGGTGAGTTGAATTTTAAATATTCATGTGGAGATTAAATATTCACCTATGATTAAGTCAAATCAATATCTGACCATACAGCATGTAAACATGTGACCTATCCTTACAGGAATCCTAAAAAAGACAACTTCAAATCTCTATTCTTCCTCCTCCCCCAGCAGATCCCATTTACTTTCCCAGAAGCCACTGCCACAGGATCCAAGGCCCATCAGATCCAAATAGAGTGGTATCAACCAAAGCCATCAACTTTTCTCCTTCTTACTGGGGGAACTCCTACTCCTATAAGGCACTGGAACCCCTGCTTCCAAGTCCACCTACCTCCACCAGGCAGATATTAAGGAAGAGGCATAAGAAATTATCTCTTAAAAACCAAACAGCAGGGCTGAGGCTGTGGCTCAGTGGTAGAGTGCTTGCCTAGCATGGGTGAGGCACTGGGTTCGATTCTCAGCACCACATATAAATAATTGAATAAAATAAAGGTCCATAGATACAAAAATATTAAAAAAAAAACAGCAGCCAAGAGTGGTGGCACATGCCTGTAGTCCCAGCTTCTTGGGGGCTTAAGTGGGAGGACTTCTTGAGCCCACAAATTGCATACCAGCCTGGGCAACACAGCAAGACCCTATCTAAATAAATAAATAAAATTTAAAAACCACCAAAGAGCACTTGAAAATCTGTCACTGTGGGTGGACATAAAAAACATAATTTCTGCTATACTATTTCTTAATTGTGAAAAGAACATCAAGAAATAAATTTTTAGGACCCCAAGGTTCCACGCTGACGACTACCATAGCTATGGGATACCACTGAACAGTTGATCTGCTCAACGGCTGTGATACTTCAAATTAATCTCTAATGATCATAACATAAACCTGCCAAATCTAATAACCATACAGTTTTTAGTGAAATTTGTAATAGTAAACACATGCACCCCTGTCCAAATCTCATTAACCTGGAAATGACAGTCTATTACTTGATATTACAATCTACTTGGAGAAAACTTGCTGGAGGATAAAAAAGTTAGGTTTACCACAAGGCTGAGTCATGAATAGGATGCATATTATTTGGTAAGGCCTCAAAAAGCATCTCTGTGTGTCTACAAAAGGCAGAAGGGTTGAGAAAGAAGTTTTGCAACTGATATCCTCAAGCAGCTAATAAATGATGGCACTTACAGTCCTCCACTAGTGATTAGCACTACATGGGGAAAACTGCCAAAAACAGGTTTCTCCCAGGCAGATAAGGTAAAAAGGTTTCATATTCCCTTCTCTAATACTTAAAAAAAAAAAAAAAAAAAAAGTTGCAGAACAGTAATAATTTGTTCTATCAGACTGCAGACCAAGTCCCTTTTGCTTTAACAGTACAACATGAAGATCTCACATAAGTACACATATGATCAAGAATGTACTTGGGCTATGATATTAATATTATATTAAATGATATTTTGGCTGTTGTGAACAGCACTATGACTTTCAATACTGACTACTCTGAAAAGCTACTTTTCATTTCAAATATGTGTAAAATTAATCATATGCAATAGAAAATTTTTTGTAAAGCAGAAATTTTTTAACAAATTGCTACCATGTGAAACTTTTAAACAAAAGTTCTGAATAAACCAGAGCTCCAGCTATTCTGTTCCAAGTACTTACATACCTCAGGGGGGGTTTTGCCCTCTACTAAAAATATTTGTATCATAAAATACTGACAAACACAACTAATGCCAATGAGTTATTTTTCTAAACCTCCTATTTTCACAATAATTGTCCTAATTCCATGATTATTCTAGAAATCTAAAAGCCTAACCAAACTTAATACTGCAACATTGAAAGAGTCCTAATTCATAAATATCTTAAGTGTCTTCCTAACTTAGGCGGTAAAACAAGACTAGAAGGCATAAATGCCTTCTAGTAAACCCATGTGTATATCTGTCTGATGCAAAAATAGTTCCCACCCTAAAATCCACACCTTTTCCATATTTACACAAAAGTTTAAGTAAGTGAACACTGTTCAAGAATGAAAAATGTATACAACAAAGAATATGGAAACCTCACTCTACATGAGACTATCCTTCTTTCATTAACTATTTCAAGACTTCTTAACTACCAATTAGGTTCTTTCAAATCCGACTTTAGAAACAAATAGATCTACACTGTCCATCTGTATTTATCTTTGCAATCTCCACATATGCTTCAGAATGGGAAACAAAGTCACACTGATCTTGGGGAAACAGTTGATATGAACTCCCTATGAAAGGAATAAAAAGATACTAAATGGTTGGGAGGTGGTCAGAGGGTTGGAAGGACTATTCTAAATTAAAGAGATTTCTGTGTCCTTCCTCTTCAGGAGAAAAACGAGAAAGGAGTGCTGGTGGAAGAAAATTAATGTACAACTTGCTCCTTGAAACACAGGCTTTAAAGTATAACTTTGGAATCATATACTTATTTTCAAGAAAAAAATTATCTTCACAATGAACGAATTTCTGGATGAGGTACTTAGAGTAAAATGGAATTCTAGTGTAGAAGGGCTGTAGCACTTCTTTATCTTTAAAAAAAAAAATGCATGTCATTCTCCTTTTAGGCTGTTGACTACGGAAAATGGTCCCTTTCCATATCTGCCAATTTTATGTCTCTTGATATTTCTGCACCCTCTTACTAATTAACTGGTCTTCATCAGGAAGATATTAATAATGGTTGAACACTCAGGAGACACCCACAGCCTCAAAACTAAAGAGACCTATTCAAGAAGAGACGGGATGAACCAGGAGAAGAAAGGTACATGGCAAAAACACAGCAGGTCAGAGCAGTTGTGCCCGGCTTTGCACACTTACTGGTTTGCTAGGGTACACGTTAGATAGATGCGTTTTTAGTTTCCCCACGGTCCAGTTCAAGAAGCAGCTAATAGTCTGGTCACTGTATTTCTGATTCGGTGCTTTAATGATGAGGGTCACAGGAATCTCCATCCCACTTTGGTCCATGGTGCTCCCAAAGTCGGACGGTCAAAGAGGAGCAGCAATGAGCCCTAATGAGCCGAAGTGTTTACCGCCGGCGCGGCTAGGATGGGGACGGAAGTGAGTTCTTAGTATTCTGTGTTCAATTCAGTCACAAGTGCATCGGGCGATACGAAGGCCATTGCCAGTACCAAGGATGGACAGAGACGGTGGCG